TGTAGCCTGGTGCCGAACGCTCCAAAGGGCTTTACCGTATTAACATGAGAAGCGGTGCAAGTGAAATTAGGCACTGTCATCGGACAACATGCGGTAATTTATAAATGTTTTAAATCAGGTTGGGTCCGGATTAGCCAGCAGGTGGGTCCGGATCCGGGCCGCGGTCCGCTAATCCGTGACCTCTGATTTATGCAAAACGAAAAGATCAACAGGTAAAGTCCCTTTTGATCGGCCAATACTGAAATACTGTAAGAACATTTCGCCTAATGTAACACTCTATCTCTAGTAAAATGTCTTAGTATTTTCTAATCTGGGTTTCAGGGCCTCCAAGTGTGACTGCTTAAACCATTATACACCCACTGCCTAATCTGTCAGTAAACACGAGATATTTTCTTTATGCATATCACCTATTTCATCTCTAACTGACCTATTATATTAAACATTTTGTCGGAAAGCTACTCTTATCTGATGAAAACACATGATTCCAATTAGAGCTAAAACAATTATTTGGATTAATCGTGAGCAGGATTGTTATAATAATCGTCAACTAATTCAGTAATCGATTAATCTCACAAAAAGATTGAATGACTGATATTATATATAATTAACATTATAAACATTTCTCAACAGTCATATGTGTCCTGAAGCCTGTATATGAGCTTCACAAATGAAAAAAAAAACTTTCACCTACATAATTGCGTTTCTCCACCTCTTAATCAATAAATGCTCAAATTGATCTGTTTGAAAAGCATTCCCCTTATGATGTCATAAGGGGATATAAGCTTAGTCAAGCTACAGTGTTTGTCTAATGCATTATTCCATGATTGATTGACTGATTTATTAACTTACTTTATTGATCTCACAGTGGAGAAATTTACCCTTTACAGCTTCTCAATAGTCAAAAAGCTCCTAGTTGCTATTTCAAAAACTCTGTTGTCATGGTTGCGGGTTGTCAGGGTGTGGCTTTCAGGGGGACGGGGCGAGAAAAGCCAAAAGAGCTCATCCAGAACAGGTCTGAATGAGATTTTTGGTACATGTTTTTCTGCCTAATCTAAAACAGATAATTTTAAACATAGATTGTCAGATAAAATGGAAGCAGCTTATATCACAAGTTTGATCGAATAATACAAATTGTTTATGGTTATTCTTAAACAATTAAGCTTAAGCTTAAACTAATGTAAAATATTAAGGGTCTGAGCCAAACTGTTTCTGATTACTTTCTCACTCCCTTAAATGAAAATAATTAACATTCTATCCCTTACATTAGAATAGAATAGAATAGAATAGAATAGAATAGAATAGAATAGAATAGAATAGAATAGAATAGAACAGAAAATTCTGGTGTTTATAGCAGCAAAAAGATTATAGGAAAAAAAAGTATAAGAATAACATAACAGTGAAGAGTTAAAAACAAACAAATGAAATCCTGTACTGAAAAGTGTTTTAACTTTATAAAAACTGTGCACCTGGAGAATAAATAACCAACATTCAGCTATGGACATTTTTACAGTAATGGATATTTGAAAATAGCAGCAACATCAGAGATGTGCAAAATGACAGCAGCATGTTATTTTACTGACTACGGTAGAAACTGTGCCAAATCTGCATGAATGTAACAACTTATATTCGTTATAACTGAAATATATCCAGTCACTATATATAATAAAGGCCGTCATAGACTAAAAGAGGAGAATAGGAGCACCGTTGTCGCACACACAACATCCCACTGTAAGGACTAAGCTACTTTAACAGAACAATGACAATTTGCCAGTACTGACAACAACTATGTATGCTGACAGACTGTTTGAATTTAGATATATATAAAAAAAAGTAAGAGGTAATGAAGCTCTGAGATCTTTGAGCCAGTGGTGAAGGCCAGCTTCTGTATGTATCAACACATATGAGGGAGAAAGTGTGTTTAGTTTAAATAGTGGAAAACATGATCTGCATATTACTGAAATTTGGATGCACACTTTCTGAAAAGTAAAACAACAGCATATTTTTTTTCTTTTGTGTTGAACCTTGTGCTGACTTATCACATGAAATCCAGATAAAACAGAATGAGCAGGACTTCCAAGCATAGACTTCCACTCCGGACTCCTGCTGCAGCTATCATATTAAGATAACCAGCAACTCATTCATGTCTCCATTTACATGCTCTTATCACATTTATCTTCTGCGTGAGCAGATTAGATTCAGATTGCTTTCCTGTTCTCCTCCTGTTTGTTATTTTATTCCTCTCAGAGCATGAAGGACATTCCATCTGCTAATTAGTATGGAACCATGCAAAATAAAAATAAAAATACAGCAAAAAACAATAATGAGTCACCACTTCTCCAGTACACCAGTTTGATAATGCAAGCAGATGTGCTCACCAAAATGTCAGTTCAAAGTGCCCTCCAGGAAAACACTGAGCTCACCTGCTCAACAAGTACAGCTGAGACACCAACTGACTCATGCATAAAGCTGCATACTGTCATAGCAGAATATTCTTATTTAGTAAAAACAAAAAATACAGCTTTTATATGGCTTACTTTGCTAGGCAACAATTAAAAGCTCATTTTTACGCATTATGCATCATCATAAAAGGAAAGCAGAATAGACAGGAGGAAAGGAAGAGAGGGTGACCTCCACTTGCCCTGATATATCTGCAGGAAAATTCAGCTCCTTGTGAAGAGGACGGTGCTTCCCAGCCTGATGTCACAGCAGTATTTTCCTCCAAAACAGTTCGTCCCTCATGTAAAGCAAGCTCCTGAGTTCACTCACCTCTTTCTCTCTCTCTCTCTCTCTCTGGAAGAAGATGAATGAACCGCTGGGTCTCCCTTGCCAACACATTTACATAAGCCCCGCCTCCGCTGCACGTTGGTTGGCCGCTGTGCTGCTCAGAGATGAGCTCCTTTCATCTGATTGGACAGAGAAGCTTTCAATTAGGACGGTAGCCCGGCCGCGCGCGTGCCACAGAGAAGAGAGAGAGAGAAAGCAACAGTGCGGAAAAATAATAATAAAAAAAATACTTTTGTTTCTAATGACGGGATAGTTTCAAACCTCAGTTTTTTGAAAAATAAAATATAGCGTAATATCAGAGAATGATATTAAACAAAGGAGTAATAGTTATCCAAAATGACCTTGGGACACTGAGAAAATAAGTAATGGCACCATTTAGAGGAGAGTGGGGGCTATGGA